AGGTATTCTATTAGGGCCTTAAGTTCCGGGTCGGCCCGTTGTCGTTCAGCGAAGTCGTCGGTAGTTATAGTTCCCAAGAAGTAGTCGTCATCAAAGTGTTCCTTGCCGGATTTATAAAACGACGGTAATGTCACATTCTTGAAGTCTCAGGCTCCGTCGTGCGAGGCGAACTGAAGGGTCCTTCAAGGTAGCTAGCCAACACAAGGCGTGGTGGTCTCTCACAACTTTGAAGGGCCTGCAGTAGATGTAGGGGCGAAACTTCGACGTAGCCCAGATGATGGCGAGGCACTCTTTTTCTGTTATGGAATAATTGGCTTCTGCTTTGGATAGCGATCGGCTGGCGTAACTAATAACCCTTTCAAGTCCGTCAGCCCTCTGCACAAGAACGGCGCCAAGACCTACGCTGCTTGTGTCAGTGTGTATTTCTGTATCGGCGAATTCGTCGAAATGAGCAAGCATCGGAGGCGTCTGGAGGCGATGTTTAGGCTCCTGGAAAGCGTGTTCCTGCGGCATTTCCCACTTGAACTCCACGTCGGACTTGGTAAGATTAGTGAGTAAATCGGCGATGCAAGCGAAGTTTTTCACGAACCGCCTATAATCGGCGCACCCCCTTCTTGTCAGTGGGCGGCGGGAAGTCGGCGATGGCGGCTGTTTTCCGTGGATCGGGACGAACTCCAGAATTGGTAATCACGTGCTTCAGAAACAAGAGCTCCTCGTACGCAAATCTGCACTTTTCCGGCTTCAGTGTGAGTCCGGTTGTCTTGATGGCTTGAAGTACAGCTTCAAGGCGCCGAAGATGCTCGTCGAAACTCAAGGAAAACACAACGACGTCGTCCAAGTACACAAGGCAAGTCTGCCACTTCAATCCTTCCAGTACTGTATCCATAACGCGTTGAAAAGTTGCAGGCGCTGAGCAAAGGCCGAAGGGCATCAGCTTAAACTCGAAGAGGCCGTCTGGTGTTATAAACGCCGTCTCCTTTCGGCCTCTTTCGTCGACTTTGATTTGCCAATAACCAGTCTTGAGGTCCATTGACGAAAAGTACTTGACCTTATGGAGCCAATCAAGTGCTTCGTCTATTCGTGGGAGAGGATACACGTCCTTTCTTGTGATTTTGTTTAGGCGGCGATAATCGACGCAGAAACGTAGGGTCCCATCCTTTTTTTTCACTAACACCAGGGGTTATGCCCATGGACTCTTGGACGGCTGGATGATGTCATCCCGCAGCATTTCATCAACTTGTCTCTTCATGGCCTCACGTTCTCGCGTCGAAACCCTGTACGGACTCTGACGGAGTGGTGTGGCATTTTCTTCGGTTATGATACGATGTTTCGTGATTGGGGCCTGCCGAATTTTTGATGACGATGAAAAGCAATCTTCGTATTGCAGGAGCAGGGCCTTGAGCTGCTCTTACTTATGGTTCGGAAGTCTGGGATTGACGTCGAAAGCTGTGGGAGGGGCTTGGTTCATCTGAGCAGGTTCCGCAGAATCGGCGAGGGCGAAAGCGCTGGTGGCGTCCACAATTTCTTCGATGTATGCGACCGTTGTTCCTTTGTTCACATGTTTGTACTCATTGCTGAAATTCGTGAGCATAATCGTTGCTTTGCTTCCTCGCAGCTCTGCGATTCCTCTTGCGACGCAAATATTTCGGGTGACCAACAGATGCTGACTCCCTTCAACGACGCCTTCCAAGTCAAGTGATTTAGGAGCACCGACTGAAATAATGACGCTGGAGCGAGGCGGAATGGTGACTTGTTCTTCCAGCACATTTAAAACATGGTTCCCTGACGCCGTGCGCGGCGGTAGTGCTTCTTCTGTGGATAACGTTATCGACTTTGTTCTTAGGTTGATGAGAGCACCATGGAGGCATAAGAAGTCCATACCAAGGATGGAATCTCTCGAGCAACGCTGTAGGACTATGAAGTCTGTAGGATAAATACGGCTGTTAATGGTGACTCTCGCTGTGCAGATTCCTGCAGGCGTTACGAGATGACCTCCGGCTGTGCGGATTTCAGGGCCTTCCCAAGCTGTCCTAACTTTCTTTAACTTCGCGGCGAATGACCCACTGATGACGGAATAGTCAGCTCCAGTATCGACGAGAGCGGTTACACTGTGGCCGTCGATAAGAACGTCGAGGTTGCTAGTTCGCCGTCTCGCATTACAGTTAGTGCGTGGAGTCGTGTCACGGCTGCGTCGGCTTGCTCCGCTGCTTCCATGTTGCGTCGTCAGGCCACCTTCGGTAAGTAAGCTTTCACCGTCAGGGCTTTGCCTGGTTGGCGTTGTCTTCAGAAAGCTCCGTCGCGGCAGCGTCGTCGTCGGAGGTGGATTTTCGGTAGTTCATCGCACAGCAACCGCACCTTCATCGGTTGCTGCACTTAGTTTCCTGGATACGGGCTAGGAGACTGGTCCCGCGTTGAACCAAAGTACTGCCGGGGGTGCGGTGACATGCGGCGGCTGGGCGACGGCGAATGGGAAATTCCTGTCAGGTAGTCAGCGATGTCGCCTGGCCGTTCTCCTGGCTGCGGACGCGGTGCATTGACGGCGAAGCCACGCAGTCCCATCTGTCGGTACTGGCAACGGCGGTATGTGTGTCCGGCCTCACCGCAGTGTTAGCAGAGCGGGCGGTTGTCAGGTGCATGCCAAACGTCCGTTTTCCTCGGCGCACTGCGCTGGCCCGCTGGCGAACGGTAGGACGTCGGTAGGGGTGGTGACGTCTGGTGTGGGAAGTACGATGGGGCGGCGTTTTGGCGTGGACGGGGAGGAGCGTTGTGGCGCACTGCAGCGGCGTAGATGATAGTTTCTGGCTCGGGCAGCGGTGTTTGGGGAATTCGAAGCGATTGCTGAACTTCTTCTCGCACAATGTCAGCGATTGAATCAACTTGAGGCTGCGCCGAAGGCAACATCTTGCACAGCTCTTCCCGCACAATCGCTCGGATCGTTTCACACAGGTCTTCGGAGTCACTGGCTTGAGCAGCAGCGCATTCTGGAGTCAGGCGACGATTATACTGTCTGGTGCGCATCTCCAGGGTTTTTTCAATAGTGGTCGCCTCGGATACAAATTCTTGGACGGTGTTCGGTGGATTCCTCATAAGTCCCGCGAAGAATTCCTGTTTGGCCCCTCGCATGAGGAAACGAACTTTTTTCTCCTCAGGCATGTCTGGGTCAGCGTGACAAAATAGGCGGGTCATCTCCTCTGTGAATATGGCAACCTTTTCATTTGGTAGCTGAACCCGGGTCTCTAGTAGAGCAGCGGCCCTCTCTTTGCGAGCGACGCTCGCGAACATTTGCAGGAATGCGCCGCAGAAGACATCCCACGTTCGGAGCATGGACTCCTGATTCTCGAGCCAGGTCCTTGCAATGTCTTCCAGGTAGAAGTACACAGGACGGAGCTTTTCTTGGTTGTCCCAGTGGTTGAGGGCAGCCACACAGTCGTATGTTTCTAGCCAGGTTTCCGGGTCTTCAAATGATGACCCATGGAACGTTGGTGGTTCCCTGGGTTGATGAATGACGATCGCGGGCTGGGAAGCTGCGGTTGTCATTGACACTGCAGTCGAGGTCATGACCTTAATCTTCCGCGCCTTGTCTTGTAGAAGCCCGTACTCCGGTGGGAGACCTTGCTGTCGGCGGCTTGTTCGCTGCTCTTGGTTGGCGTCGGTGTCTTCTCCGCGATGTGGGCTGGGTTCACGGCTTGACGGGGGCGTCCGGTACATGAACGAAGCAGCACCTCCACGAGATGTCACGGGGTCGTGACGTGGCCGAAGACAGAATACTTTGTGTTGGGATTTAACTATTTATTTGGGCGAACCTGTGCCCGGTAAACGGAAAGTCCGATTACAGTAGCAGTCTTGCGCAGACAGCAGTGAACGGAGCGTCGGCCGTCGATCAACTACTGACAAGCGGCGAAATGCGTCGGCATTTATACTCTTGCCAATCGAATGTTCTAGCGTTATCGCTGGCGGTGGCGTAGGCTCCAGAATAATCTGTACAGTTCGCAGAGTGGCCGTGATCTTATCGAAATGATCTACTAAAGTCCGGAAGCTTCTCGAAAACTGCAGGCGCGGTTTGCGCTGAGAACTGTGTAGTGTTTTGGGGCGATAACAATACTTGAGAAATGGAACGTGGCAATAATAACAAAAAATGCCGATGTTTCAGCTGCGTTAAGGACCAAAAATCAGTTAAAAATGAATTTATCACTGACAATCTTTCCATGCTGCTCACAATATTACACACCTATATGCAACTTTTCATAGCTGAATATCCTCGCCTTCTTTCAATATCCTACATTAAAAACGAAAACAAACCCCTCCACCTAGCCTTTTATATCGAGGGTGAACAACTAACGATTTGTCATGTCTTTACTGTGATGGAAAAACAATATTTTTTTTTCTGCCTGGATTATCTTTACGATTTTTTCTTTGTTCCTCAGTTAATAGAATGTGATATGCCACAATGTAAATTTTGTCATAATAATCTCAGGAGAAAATGTTCTAAATGGGAGCTTCTATGTCAGATGTCAAAGAGGGCATTTCCTAAATCTGGTTAACGGTCCATAACTTTGCTAGGAAATGGTTTAAAGCAATTATTTATACTTTGTCGCACACTACAAACATATTCAATAGTACAATGGGTTTTACATTGCTGTGAAAGTTGCAGTTAATTGGCTAATTAGGCCTCAAACAATGAGATAGCTGCTTCTGAAATTTTATAAACTATTGATCATAAAAGAAGAAAACAAATATTTAAAATCAGCTTACAAATAGACAAACTGCACTAGTTCTGTCATAATAAATCAAGTTTGTAAAAAAATGTTTTCCTTAAAAAAAATGGTCTTCCCTAAACTTGTGATTGGTCCGTGAAAGCATCCAAATTTTCTAGACTGTCTGGAAAATTGGCACTTGATGATACACGGTGTTAGGTCTACCTTCTAATTCAACAAGAAACACAAATATTATGCATTAGCATGCAGGGAGTGATGGAGAATGCTTCCTAAGCTGGGGCATACCTGGGACTATGGGTCCCGTGGGAGGTGTACGACGGCGACGCTTCACTTCTGCCAGGCAGGTACGTGAAACACGCTCACTTGAAACAGACCCTGGCCAGTTCCTAAGAGAGACAAGGGTAACACACTGACAACATAGACTGCAGTATCTGAAAGAAGCGACGACACTGAAATCAAACAGTAGGTTAACAACTTGTATCCGAAGAGAGACCATCAACAATCCAAAACATGGACAACTGCTCTTTAATTCCGAAGGACATATACACAGGTCAGAGACACATACACAGTGCCCCTCTAAGGTAAAAAGAACAGAATGAAACTGATACTAGATCCACATCACAACAAAACTATAGCAGGAGCTTTGTGCATTTACAAGAAATACAAGGCCTATGTTCTTGTTAAGGGTCTGATTGACTACTGATGAAGAACCACAGTTAAAATGCTATGATGCAATGAGCTCATATGTTAAGCAAACTGTCAGTTGTCAGTGTGCAGTGGGCACATAAACATAACTCAGATATTGCAAATGAGTTTCACAGAATCTTGCAATCTTGGAAGGGTCAAGAAAGGGATACAGTAGACTCGCAGTAATTCAAACTTTGATAATTCATACTTTTGGTTATTTCAAACAAAATTGAACTTTTTGGTTGGCACTCTTCCAATGTATTTGAAAGCCTCTTAATTCAAACTCCATCATTCGGTTAATTCATGCTCTTTGCGGTTATATGCCATAAAATATCTGTTGCTTGCCTACTAGTACTATTTAAAAATTTGTGCGCTTATATAATTCCAGCAGACCAAAAATAAAAAACAAGTGCCTCAGGCCTGCAAGGCCTGAGGCACCTATTTGCTAGTAAAATATTAAAGGCTTTGCTAGAAAACAAATATTAAAAATGAAGCGCACACATGGTAAACCATGATGCTTCTCAACTGGTATAGAGTTAGCTTTACCCTGAAGACACATAAAGCAAAGAAGCAGTTGGCGGTTCACAATTTCTTTAAAACGTCTGATCAGCAATAGATGGCCAACAAACTTGTGAACCATACACCTCACCTTTCTGCTCATTGGGTGCGGTTAGGGTTTAAAAAAGTTTAAAGAAGCTTAAATGCGATAAAATCAATGTGTCAACTTTCTTGCCCAGAACCATATATCTGAGAACTTTTGATGATTCAAACTTCTAGGTAGCTCAAACAAAATTCAGAGGTCCCTTCAATTTGAATTAATGAGAGTCGACTGTAGTTGACAACCATCCGTTGGTGTCAAACGACGCCACAAGAAAAAGCTGAATGGATTTCTCAGAAAGAACAGTTTATTTAGTTGCCAAAGAACTTGCTCTTGTTCAAAGATCAAACCCACGACCAATGCCTTTTCAAAGCGGTTGCCCTACCAAATGAACCAACCAGGAAGCCAGCAACTGTAGCACAAATGGCTAATAATCAGCAACTCCACGCACACGGACACACCATATTGTCACGCAGCAAAGGACGACACAGTTGTCTATAAGGAAAACAAGTTTATTGGAGCGAACCTGTGCTGCCCTAACAACTGAAAGAATACACAGGCGGCGAAGCAGCGGCCGGCAAAACGACGGGCACGCTAGTGAGCGTCGGCGATCGAATGACGCGGCATCGGCTGTGCGGGAATTTATATCCCTCGGCGCGAGGGTTTCTCGAACAGTCGAATTGTATCGAGAACGCCGTGATAGCGTTTGTTAGAAACGCTGTTCGTTCGGAACGCTCGAAGCGTTGTTCAACAGCGTTTGTTCGAAACGCAGTGATAGCGTTTGTTCGAAACGCTGTGAAAACAGCGATAGCACAGGCCGGCGCAGCCAGGCCTAAAAAACAAAACAGAAATAAACAAAACCCAATGCATGGTTCGCGGCATTACCCCCCCTCTAAGAGTGCATCGACCCGATGCTAAGATAAGGGAGAGTCCACACAAATTAAAAGTTCGTCATCGTCCGTAGAAAGGTTTTAAGCGAACCACATGGACGACTTCGGGCCGCGTGCGTCGTCGTGATGTACGGGAGTCCCCATCAAGGATCACTTCGTACGTTAGTTCCCCAACACGTCGTAGAATCTGGTAGGGTCCGAAATAGCATCGTAGAAGTTTCTCACTGAGTCCACGTCGTCGAATGAGAGTCCAAACCCACACACGATCTCCAGGATGGTACTCGGCGTCTCGGCGTCGGAGATTGTAGCGTCCGGCATCCACCAGTTGCTGGTCCGTTATACGAACTCGAGCGAGCTGGCGGGCCTCCTCCGCACGTTGGAGGTATCCTTGGAGGTCGGCGTTGAGGTCGCTGTCTTCTACGTGCGGAAGCATGGCGTCGAGCATCGTAGTCGGCCGTCTTCCGTAGACGAGCTCGAACGGTGTCATCTGCGTGGTTTCTTGGATAGCCGTGTTGTACGCAAACGTGACGTACGGGAGGACTTCGTCCCACGTCTTATGTTCAACGTCGACGTACATAGACAGCATATCCGTGATTGTCTTATTCAGCCGTTCCGTTAGTCCGTTCGTTTGGGGGTGGTACGCCGTCGTTCTTCGGTGATCTGTGTTGCTGTAGCGTAAGATTCCTTGCATGAGCTCCGAAGTGAAGGTCGTTCCGCGGTCCGTGATTAGGACCTCAGGGGCTCTATGACGCAGCACAATTTGGTTAATAAAAAACTTTGCAACTTCTTGTGCAGTTCTCCTAGGAAGAGCGGTGGTCTCTGCGTAGCGCGTCATGTAGTCTGTCGCTACGACAATCCATTTGTTCGCGGATCGGGATGTAGGGAACGGGCCCAGAAGGTCCATTCCGATCTGTTGGAAGGGCCTCGTTGGGACGGCGATCGGCTGAAGAAGTCCAGCGGGTCTCGTCGGTGGTGTTTTTCGTCGATGGCAGTCACGGCAGCTCCGGACGTAGTGGGTGACATCGGATGTAAGGCGGGGCCAGAAGTATGTCGCCTTGATTTTTGTAATCATGCGAGCTGTTCCGAGATGTCCGGAAGACGGGTCGTCGTGGCACGCTTCCAAAATTTCGTCACGAAGGTCTGCGGGGATGACAAGTAGATAATTCGTTCTCGTTCCGGGGTTGAAATTCTTCTTCACTAGGATGGAGTTTTTGAGGCTGAATGCTGGTAAGTTGCGCTTGAACGCCCTAGGCACGGCGACGTTGCGTCCTTCGAGGTAGTCGATCATGGCGCGGAGGTCAGGGTCGGCACGCTGCTGGGCAGCTAGGTCACTCTCTGTCACGACTCCGAAGAACGCGCTGTCTTCATCGGAGTCCTGTGGTGGGGGGTCGACAGGGGCGCGGGACAGGCAGTCGGCGTCGGAGTGTTTCCTGCCGGATTTGTAGAATATTGTAACGTCGAACTCTTGCAGGCGCAAGCTCCACCGCCCAAGACGGCCAGAGGGGTCCTTCAAATTGGCGAGCCAACACAGCGCATGATGGTCTGTCACAACCTTAAACGGTCTACCATAGACGTATGAGGCGAAATTTTGAAATGGCCCATATGATAGCCAGGCACTCTTTCTCGGAGGCCGAGTAGTTTCTCTCCTCCTTCGACAGACCACGGCTTGCATAGGCGATTACCTTTTCGTAACCCCTTTGCTTTTGGACGAGGACGGCACCCAAATCGATATCACTGGCATCCGTGTGCATTTCCGTTTCGGCGTTTTCGTCGAAATGAGCGAGCACGGGCGGGTTTCGCAGGCGTTGTTGCAGCTCGCAGATTGCCTTTTCTTGGTCGTTTTCCCAGTTGAAAGGGGTGCTTTCTTTCGTCAGGTGCGTGAGTGGCTCTGCAATGCGTGCGAAGTTTGCGATGAAGCGTCGGTAGTATAAGCACAGTCCGAGAAACCTTTGCACACCCTTCTTATCTTTCGGCCTTGGGAAGTTCGCAATGGCTGATGTTTTTGACGGGTCAGGTAGGACTCCCACGGCACTCACGACGTGACCCAAGAACTTGAGTTCCTCGTACGCGAAACGGCACTTCTCAGGCTTCAGCGTTAACCCCGACGTACGAATGGCCTCGAGTACAGATTCCAACCTTGTGAGGTGTTCGTCGAAAGTCCGGGCGAATACGAACACGTCGTCGAGGTATACGAGGCAAGTGTGCCACTTCAGGCCTGCTAGCACAGTGTCCATGACTCTCTGAAACGTTGCGGGCGCCGTGCACAGCCCAAACGGCATCACCTTGAACTCGTATAGACCGCCCGGGGTTGTAAATGCAGTCTTCTCTCGGTCTCTCTCGTCCACTTCAATTTGCCAGTAGCCGGTCTTCAGATCTATGGATGAGAAGTACTTGGCGTGGCAGAGGTGGTCGAGGGCGTCGTCGATTCGTGGCAGGGGATACACGTCCTTTTTGGTGATTTCGTTTAGTCTCCGGCAGTCAACGCAGAATCTTAAAGTGCCATCTTTTTTCTTCACGAGTACAACCGGTGCAGCCCACGGACTTTTCGATGGCTGTATTAGGTCGTCGCTGAGCATGTCATCTACTTAAGTCCGGATGGCTTCGCGCTCGTGTGAAGAAACGCGGTACGGTGACTGTCTGGTAGGTCGGGCTCCATCTTTGGTTATTATCCGGTGCTTCGCCAAAGGTGTCTGACGTAACTTCGAGTTTGAGGAAAAACACTCGCTGTAGCGACGGAGCAACTCCAGTAATCTGTCCCGATTTTCTTGCGACAGCGCCGGGTTCACGTCGAAAGGATGTGGCAGTCTGGAAGCATCTGCGCGTGCGCGTTCAAAGGTGGCGACCACGATCACTTGACTCGCTTCTTGCGTTTCTTCGAGGAACACAATCGCAGCACCCTTGTTTAGATGCTGGTACTCCTCGGTGAAATTGGTGACCAAAACGTGGGATCTGCGTTGCTTAAACTGCGCAATGCCTCTTGCGACAGACACACCACGGTCTAGAAGCAACCTTTGGTCAGTCTCCACGATAGCGTCGACGTCAGGAGCAGCACCTTCACAATTGACGGCGATCATCAAGCTTGCGCGGGGTGGCAGGGTGACGTGATCGTCGGCGATCCTTACAGCAGCACGGTGTCCGAGGTTCGGCTGCGGCGTCGTGGAGTGATCGGAAGAAAACGTTATCGACCTGGTCTGCAGATCAATTATTGCGC